CTGTTCAACTTCTTCTGGAGTTCTAGCTTCTTGCGGATCAGCTTTCATTCTACTTCTGCAAGCTCCTCTGCGGCGATACGTTCCGCTTCCGCGTCGAGTTCGTCGATTGAGCGGAGCGAGCGCCGGCTGCTGCAAGACGTTGCTGATGAAGTGGTGAGTGAACGAGCGCTCATCGACCTGCTCCCGTTTTGGTACCCTGCGCTGGCTGCAGCAAGGCCTGCATTTTCGCCGATCTGCGCGTCGTTTGTGTACTGGACACGCTTTTGGTGTGCATGAGGCAAAAAAGTAACAGCCGGGGTCACAGAGCGCGTGTGAGTGTCATGCAAATCGGAACCTAAAAAGGACTGGCCAGCGTACTGCTGGTGAGGTGCTAAATCTACAGCAACATGATGTGGTGCGTGTACGGGATCATTGTTTGCATGCATTTGTGTGGAGGTGCGTGTGTGCGAATATGAAAACGGCCTACTTGTAGCGGAAGCATTACATGTTTCAAAATTGTTTTCATGACTTTCATGAACAAACTCATTCGTGGAACTACTAACATTAGTATTACGAACAGCAGAACAAACAGGCATATAATTATTTGGTGTGTGGAGACCAGGACCTAACTGGTTGGTGCTTTCTCCAGCTCCACCTCGAGTGATTTCACTTAGCTCAGCCTCTTGTTCCGTCTTGACGATGTCAGCCATCTGCGTTGACTTGCCGGCGTCGTCCTGGGCTGCCGCTGCTGCTGTTGCGTTGTCGTCGTCTCCGAATCGCGTCGGTGCACGAGACAGACGGCCACTCCGTGTGGTGTACATAGGTTCGACACAAGCTCCTAATTCTCTTGTTGGTTAGAAGGTGTTCTTTATTGATCTGTTTTCATTTCTTGTTGGCTGAGTTTTACGAAATAAACAAGAAATGTTGTTCTTTTCGAACGAACAGGTCTGGGACCGAGGTCCAACAGTTTTGGGCGTACTGGTACGCCGCAGTCCCTCATCTTTTGTTTTCTTGCTTTGCAAGCTGGTTGCCTTTTTCTGGACTCCCTTGATTTCGTCAGTCGTAGATCTACCTGCCTTTCCGTTATGCCTCCAAGGAAATCCAAGGCCCCCTCGGCAGCGCAGCTGGTACCTCCAAGGAAAAAATCCAAGGCCCCCTCGGCAGCGCAGCTGACCGTGGAGCTCAATGCAATGAGGGAGAAGTTTGAGGCGGAAAAGGAAGAGAGCGCCCTGAGAATCAGGCTCCTCGAGGGACAGCTGGAACGGGGAAATGAGTCGTCCTCGTCCAAGCGTAAACGCCGTAATGTTTCTGTGTCGTCGTCGTCTTCATCTTCTTCGTCATCATCTTCTTCATCGTCCTCGTCATCAGATTCGTCTGACTCGTCGGATGACTCCCGCCGGAAAAGAAAAACCAAAAAATTCAAAAAATCGAAGAAGTCGCGAAGATCCTCCACCTCGATGTCAGCGCGAAAGTGGAAGACAAGGTCTTATGAAGTGCAGCACGGCCTGAATGAGCAGCTGCAACGCCAAATCAAGAAGACCAGGCGGGACCTGCGGAAGCTGAAGGGTGGCCGAAGTCTCTCTAAGAGGCTCAGAAGAGGTGAGTCGTTGCTGTCTGCTAGACAAGAATGGTTGGTGGTGGCGGATGTGCATGGCCACGAGGCGGCCAGCAGGTTTCAAGAGGGGGGTGAGCTGGTCGACATCCTGTCGTCCTCCGAAAAGTCAAAAAAGCTAATCGCTGCGATTCAAAGCACGAAGCAAAGAGCCCCCACTGTTAACGTTAGGCAGCCCTTTCGTGGCAGTGCCCCAGCCACCTCGTCCAGGAGCTGGGGCAATTCCCCAATCCCCTTCACGCCGGGCGTCACAGCAACCCCTGCCCCAGCAGTTCCCCCCAGACCCCCCAGGCCTGTGTGCCACCGCTGCGGCAGCGCTGACCACTTCGTCAGATTCTGCACCCAGACCATCTCTGCCCCCGCTGCTAGAAAATAAGCCTGCTGTTGTTGCACCAATTCATTCCGATGAAGAAAGAGATGTTGATTCTTATTTGATGGAGGCTGATGGTGGGTGGGATGTGCGTGAAGTTGGTGTTCAAGATGTTCAAGTAGGTAGCCTAGCTAAATGTATGCAATTTTGGCGCATGATGGGGGCATCTAGGTTTATTCAAACCATAGTACTGCATGGATACGCACTGCCCTTCATAGAGGTCCCGCGTGCAAGAGAATTTGCAAACCACCGCAGTGCATGCGAGAATGCCGAGTTTGTTTGTGACTCGGTGGAAAGTCTGCTGAACCAGGGTTGCATTCAAGAAGTAAAAAGGGAGGATGTTGTAGTCACCAGTCCGTTAGGCGTTGTGAACAACGGCAAGAAGCTACGACTCATTGTGGACTTGAGGTATGTAAACAAGCATTTGCAAAACTTTAAGTTCAAGCTCGAGGACATGAAGGTCGTGGCAAATGTGTACTCTCAGGGAGATTATTTGGTTACGTTCGATTTGAAGAGTGGGTACCATCATATTGAAATTGCGAAGGCGTATTGGAAGTACTTAGGTTTCTCCTGGGTGGGGAAGGGGGGTGATCGCAGGTGGTTCGTTTTCCGTGTTCTCCCCTTCGGTTTATCCACTGCCCCATACATTTTCACGAAGGTAACCCGTGTCTTACTAAGACACTGGCGGAGGGACGGCATCAGATGCCAGCTTTACATGGATGACGGGTCGGGTGGGCACTCTACAGTTGAGGGTGCACAGGCAGTAGCGAAAAGATTGAAATCAGATCTAGTTCAGGCCGGATTTGTTCCAAACGAAAATAAGTGCCACTGGGAGCCCTCACAGACGGTAGAAATGCTTGGCATGGAAGTCGACATGAGGGAAGGGATCATACGGGTCACTAAGGGACGGGTGGAAAAGCTGAAGACGTTTGTAGAAAAGCTGTCACAGGTCGAATATCCAACTGCCAGACAATTGGCCAGGCTTACGGGGTATTTGCTATCTATGTATCTATGTTTCTTGCTGTGGCTGTCCCCCCGCAGTTGTTATTCTGTGATGAGTGTGTGTGAGTGTGTGTGTGTGTGTGTATGTGAGAGAGAGAGAGAGAGTGTGTGTGTGAGTATGTGTGCAGTACTGACGTGTGAGTGAGAAAAGAAGTCCCTGTTCTCGGGAGTTGTGTGATTATAGGAAAAATAGTGTGCAAACTGAGTCGGACATGTATGGAAAAGTGTTGTATCGTGCTCTTTACAGTGGGTGCCCAATCGGGCAAAGCACAAACGAAAAGGGTGCCGTGAGTCAGTGCTGTCATGCAGCAACAATCGTGGATAAAAAGAGGAGGGACTATATATTACGAGTTATGATTACCTGTCCAACAAATGTCTCAGGTCGTTGACTGTCTCAGTAGCGTTGATCAGTTTTATCCCTTGTCGTCTCACTCGTTGACTGGATGTGATAATTATGGTTACATTTTTCTCTTTTTGACCACTTTCATTAATCTCGGATGGTGAGCCAATTAAATTATGGTGAAAAAAAGGCCAAAATATGCGAATGTCTCAGTGCTCCGTGTCAGTTTTGTGCCAATTTGTCGCACTCTCTGACTGTATAAGATCGGCTTACGTTGCTGGACAGTTAGTTATAACATGTTGTCCTTCTTTTTTCACCATAATTTAATTGGCTCACCATCCGAGTTGAACTTTGCACACCTGATGAGCCGTCATGACCTATACGGCGAAACTTATGTCGTGTGGAATTACTTGTTATTGTACATAACTAGTCCATTATATTTACATGATAGTGGAGTTCAGTAGGATGTTGGCGTTTCCGTTTGTAACAATTCGTCATCTCTGAGCCTTCCCTTCTATATTTATTACATAAACTTGAGCCTCCCAAGTTGGGTGGTCTGTTGCTTTGCATCGTCGAGTTGTAGTAGGGCCGGTCTCTTCAATATTCTTACTAGGTTCGTCATCACCCAGTAACTTCCGGTATTCTTTGATGCCGTGATGCGTAGCTCGTGTTCTTCTTCGTTGCGCTTTCCTTCCCCTCTTGGACCTTTGTGAACCTGAGCCTTCCAAGTTGGAAGGTTTCTGGTTTGCGCCTTGGAGAAGTGTTTGAGCTAGGTGGCGGGTCGCCGAATGTCTGAGGACTCCTTGTCATTTTGTGGAATTTTGTCGCACACGCTGACTGTACAATATCTGGTTACGTTGATGGACAGTTAGTAGTAACTCGTAACATTTGTCCTTCTTTCTTCACCATAACTCTCATTAAAGCTGGAACTATGCTGAGAAGCGCTGAAAATGGAATAAACGTACAGTTTAATCTGTAATAGCGACCACTGGGATAAGGTCACCACTCGACCATGGCGATCAATATGTCTTGATTTCAACGAGCAGAAGGTTCAGTATCCTTCAATTTTCTCGTTGCCATCTCATCAGAAAGATTGTACTGGCAGAACCAAATGACCGTGTGAGACAATACAAATACTCAACTTCCAGTGAAGTAAAGAAAGGCATTGTGCTAAACGTTCATCTTGTTTCACCAGTACAAGTCTTCTGATGAGAAAGCAACGAAAGCGGTTGAGGAAACTGAACCTTAAACAATGGGATGCGTGAGTGGTGAATGGGCAGCTTACACAATTCACTGATTTCGTTTATAAATTTGTGTGTCCCCTACAACCTTTTCAAGTTCCACAAAAGAAATATTAATGCAAGCCAATTTGGAAATAAGGTTCGAGATAATGAAGTTGGTTGGTCCAACGAGGAACACATGCTTCTTGCCGAACTTGACACTTGAGTGACTCACGACTGCCAGCCGGAGCACACAAGGAGCACGTCGCACCTTCGACTCGGCAAACCTGCAAGAAAGCATTAATCCCTGCTCAATACACAGTGTTTCTGGGAATTCACCCTCATCAGTTGAGCTTACTTGTAAGTTCAGTTAAGTTCGTAAGGTAGGAGATGCAGGCGAAATGTACAAAACGATTTATGCGCCTCAGAGGAATAGGCACGACCAAAAACTTGTGATGCTCTTCTAATTAATCTCACCGTTGTTGCCCGTTTCTCACTGTTGTTGCAGGGTTCTGCTACCATCGCTCCTGCGCACCTCAATTCTCTATCATCAGCGCCCACTGCAGCATAGGAATCCTCTGGTACATCCGCTGCCATTCCAACCACCTGGACAACAGATCCCACGCAGAAGATATACTAAGGAGGAAAACAAAGTTTGAATGCTGTTGAAAGCCACAGCCTCAGCTGGTTGTTAATGTTTTGCATTAACCTGCAAAGCGCGATAGTACATTGAAAATGCAACGGTTTGCACATGTGTACTTCCAGTACCTTCTCTTCAGGTGGATACATGCCGAAGAAAGCAATAGTAAGGCTCGCTGTTCATAATTAAATTCCGCGATGGGCACTCATACGAGAAATCATAGCAAGCTGAAATCAAGTTATTTCATCTCCAAATTGTAACTTAGAAGTTGCGAAGTTGCGAGTTGGAACAATCAACTTCATCCAAATTGTAAGTTAGAAGATTAAAAATCGGTTCTTTTCTACCACCCTTTTTTACCGCATGTTGTATGTCGCTAAATGCACTTCTTCAAATCTCCACCAATATAAATGCGAAACGATAGGTTTCGTGTATGTGTTTGTGGGAGGATCAAGGATTTCTTCCGTTGCTGTGTTTGACCTAGCTAATCTATTTACTGCTCTGAACACTGTTACATCATCATCCTTCTTTTGGAGAGCAAGAAAGTTGAACTAACTGCTCAAGTGGAATAGAGTACTTCCTCCTTTAACAAAACTTCGTGATGGATTTTGATGGATATGAAAACGCTTAGAACAGGTCAAGAACAGTACGTATCGACTGCAAATCACTGTACGAAGATAGTTCACCCCATGCACAGCGTCTTTACAAGAGAAACAAGGCGAAATGCGCATTGAGTTCAGTTTGCGTCGCTTTCGCTTGACTCACTTTTGACCCTGCGTCTGCATCTGCTGTATGCGAGTCGTCATCTCTCTTGAGTCGTTGTTCAGCTGGCTTCAGCCTTGCATCGGCTTCTTTGATCGCACACCGCTGAACTTACTTGATGTAGCCGTCATTCTAGTAAGTTGGCTTTCAAGCTGTGTGATGCGCCGCAGTGGCGATTACGCGTCGAAAAATTAATTATGACTCCCTGGTTTCATCTTCGCTCTCCAGAACTCAGCGAAACGATGAGTAAAGGCACAGCCAAACTGATTCCATTTTCTTTGATGGATACGTTCCTTGTTCAGTCGCTCATTGTGCTCTTTTTCATCGTTCTCTATCACACTCAAACTCAGTGCTAGCGTAGTAGAGAGACCAAGCAGCGCATTATCCCCAGTGCTAGCGTAGTAGAGAAACCAAGCAACCCATTATACCCTTGGATAAGTGGTTTTTCAGTGCGCGAACACGGCCAAGGCGCCATGTTTACCTTTGTAATATGACGTCATGCGCATTATCACCATAGCGAGTTACAGAGCTGATCTTGAAGTACAGGGGCACCAAAAAAGTGTCATTATTCTACCTGAGTGCCTTCGCTAAGGGTGGGTACGTCTAGCTTTGTGTGTGTTTGGCACAGAGTTCGCAATTTGCCATGCGTTAGCCTCCCGGACGGAGGCTTCCCCTCCATTCGACATCATGAAACCCGAGATTATCCGTCCACCATGTTGAGGCAAGTTGCACATGATGTGTTCCTTGAGACGTCGCTCCAGCTACTGTCAGGGGAGCGGTTTCAGCAATGCTAAGCAACAACTGACGAGACCGATCGCCCAGGTATCAGTGTCAGTGGATTGTGTCGCAGCCGTTTCGAGCGGACTTTAATTGATGTATGGATATTTAACCCAAATGCGTAGTTAAATCGTGCTGCACCTCTTTCCATTGCCTATCGAAGTCGTGAGAATGAAAAGAAAAGGTGCTATAGAGAGAACGAGACGAATGTCCAGTGGCCGTCATTTGTTACGGCGGTGGTGTCCGCATTCGGAGGCTTCAGTTGTGCGGCGACGGCTTTGTACAAGCGTACAGCTAGCCTGCGCGCAGAAAAATAGTCCGAGTCTTACAGCCATGTAATGGCTTTCATTCCTTGCAAGATTTAGTTTGCTCTCCTGCAAACTTGCATTCTCTCTCTCTTTCTCTCTCTCTGTGTCTCTCTGTCTCCATTCCTCTCTCTCTCTCTCTCTCTCTCTCTCTCTCTCTCTCTCTCTCTCTCTATCTATTTATCTATCTACAAATATTACACAGCAATGAATCAAACAAGTCTCATTCCGCTCTTACGCCGAGTTTCGTGTCAAAACACTTCATCAGACAGCATATGACCAAGACTAACAATCACTAGAATATATACGGAGAAGGGGAGAAGGGAAGAAGGGGGCAAAGGTGATGGAGGTACATTTCAATAGCGCAAGGAAAAGGGATGTCAAGATCCGCTTGATTATAAGAGGAAAAAGATGTTGAGTGTATAGAGCATAGCCAGGGTGGAGAAACAGCGCGATTTTCTGGCAACACATCAGTACAGATTTGTGCTGTATTGTTACACATCACATTGTGACCAAGGGTGGTAACAAATGTGATCGGGATTGTTTCGTGGGAATCACTCACGCCAGGCAAGGGGGTAACTACCACACCCGCCAAGGCATCGGAAAACCGGCGACAGAAGCCAAGACCCGCCAAAGCTATCTATCTCTATCTCTCTCCCTCTCTCTCTCTCTCTATCTCTCTCTCCCTCTCCCTCCCTCTCTCTCTATCTCTCTCTCTATATATATCTCTCTCCTTCTCTCTCACTCTCTCTCTATATATATATATATATCTCCTTCTCTCACTCTCTCTCTCTCTCTCTCGCTTTCTCACGTTATTTCCCCCCCTCCCTAGCTGCATTCCTATCGATGCCTGGTCGTAGGCTATGATTCCGAGACCTCCGGTCGGATGAGCCTCGCCAACCACATCGGCAAATCGCCCCTACTCCCCTTTGTCTTGTTGTCTTGTGTCATTTCTGTTGTCTTCTTCCCCTAATTATTAGTAGGGCTGTGTTTGCTAGTGAAAAAATTGCTTGTTTGCTTGGTTATTGTGTTAGGCATCGTGTTTTGTATTTTGTATTGAATTTAGTTTACTTCGGTGGCTCAACAGTACAATCCACTACTACAAAGTGGCCCGAAAAACCGATCATAAAGAGATAAAAGGAAACAGGAAGGAGCAAACCGAAAAGTAGTTGAAGTGAGAAAACAAAAAAAGAAACAGGAATTTAAAACTCGGGAACTGAGCCCATAATTAATGTAGAAAAGGAAAACTCTTAACTCGTTCATATTTTATCTTTTTTTCCTTTCTACTGAAACAGGAATGTATTTTGTATAAGCTGTATACTCTCGTATGGAAAAAGTGCTGTTTGAGTAATGAAGGTCATGGTATAGTCCTACATCATGGAAAGTAAATACTAGATCATGCATACAAGAGCGGAATTCGGACCTCTTGGTACAATCCTTGACATTGTGCAATAGTGCATTCCACAATAGCGCTGCTCTAATTGTGAAAGAATTGCAAACAGCTTGGTTCCTATAAAGCCGAATGGGGATATTTAATGCATCAGACTCACGGGAAACTCTTATAGGGAAAACTGCTTGGAGCAGGCCTTTGGATTATAGCATTGATACGTAAACATGGACAACACAAAAAGTAAATGAGATGTATTATTGTGAATGTTGAGTAATGCTAGCAATGAGACAACGGGACAATCTCAGTGTCAAATGGTGCACCACATGCTACTCGTTCAGCACGTCTAAAAGGTATAAATTGCCTATCTTTGTCATGGCCAGATGAACAAGAAAGAAAAACAGGAACAGAGAAGTCCAAGTCAGGCATGTTAACACCCAACATGTAGCCTCGCTTCACATGTAGCGAAAGCGTTCGCAAATGCCGACGAAGGACATCAATTTTGCGATAGACTTCGGAAACTGCTGCATCGGCATGAGATTGGAATGACCGGCCATTGTCAATCATCACACCAAGGTACCTTGTACTTTCCACTTAGTCAATGATTGTGCCACCGAGCTTTATTGCTGTCAGATCAGTACAGGCACAGCGATGGTGCAAGATAATCATGGCCAAAAATTGTGCGAGAGTTGTCACAGTTTTGACATCGTAGTACCGTGGTCCTCACTGTTGTTTGATACTAGTAATATTCATGGTTTTTCTATATAGTTGGAGCCATTAGCGCTTTTTGGCTATTTTTTCAGTGCTCTGACTATTGTATTCGACCTGAAGGGTAATGGTGCGAATGACCTAGTCGATTATGGCTTCTGTGATTCGTGTGCTGAACATATAGATTCTCCAGCACGTTAATGCATAGTACCACAGCCAAAGGTTATCTCTCTGCCGCAGTATAGTTGCGTTCTGAAACTGGCAGTTTCCGACAACAATAGGCTACTGATGCAAATCCATTATTCAGGTGCACGCCCAGCAAGGGAAAGGCAATTACGGCAGTTTGTGCTGTGACGTTTTTCATAACAACGACCAGTTGGAACACTGGCTCCTTCAATAACGCTGATTTTAGAGACTCGAATGCATTCTGTCAAGCAGCGTTCTTTTCAAATCGTGTATTTTTCCAGTGATGTCTTCTAATGGACGAGCGACGTCGATTTTGAAACCGTTGGAATTAACTTCCGAAGCCAATACACTTACTCAAATCAGTCACTGACGATTTAGTTGGCCATGGTTCCAAAGTATATAATCTTCTTGGGATCAGGGTAAGTTGATGTGCCGTTCATAGTATAACCCTAGGAAGGAAACGTCTCTCGTCGAATTCGCATTTAGACTGTTTACAACACAGCACAATATTTCTGAGAAATTCTAGAACTGTTTCAAGATGATGGTGATGATCTTCCCAGCACGTTCGTGTGTGAAGGGGATCAGCAGAAATCATATTTTGCTTTCCCTCAGTTACAGGGTTAAGGGGACAATCTGCGTGCAGAAGAGCTGAGCGTGATGAATGACACGGAGGGTACCATGTAGTGAATTTCAAAGTACTACACCCCTGCAAGCGCTCCTGACCTGCTGCAGAGTGGAAACTGGCACACACATGCCCATGGCGGATTGGAGCCGAGAATGGCCGGGTGCAGGGAGAGTGAGAATAGCTTGCAGTTTTGGCCTTGCCAGGGCATATTGACAGCGCCACAAAAGGTATACGAGCTTCTGGGTGAATACTTCTGCCGCACGGAATATTTCCACGCACTCTAGCAGAGCGCACGGCCGAATACCACCCGAACCCCATTAGTCTGGAGGACTTAAACACGATCACGGTACTTCTGTGGCAGGGAGCTCGAATACGAGTTGGAAGCATACAGCAGGTCAAAAATGATCAGCGACTTGAAGTACGTCATGCGGGACTTGTGGTTCAGGCAGCGACGCATTCTCCATAGCGATCGATCTTCTGGGAAACGCGTGCGGAACAATGGGCAATGTGGGCGTGCCAGGACATGCAGGAATCGATCGTTTCGCCAAGATAACGACGCGCATTAGGCAATGGAGTGCCATGGCAGGCCACCTCTAAGTCTACAGTGCCCTGACGACTGGCAGGAATCGGCACAACCTGGCTCTTTCCAGCATTTAGGATCAGGCCTCGATCTTTCAGCTAGTCAACAAAGATTGAAACCGATGCAGATAAGACATTTGACACTTCCTGTGCTGACCTCCCGTTGCACACGAGCGCATATTGTCACAAAGATAAAGAGACCGTCCTTAATATGCGCGAACTCCACTGCAGGTACTTCATGGCATGAAACCGTACACACACCATGCTCAAATCAAGTGGTCTTTTCACTGCATATTACCAATATCTCAATAACATTTTCCAATCGTGTAACTTTTTATCAGTCTTGGTTTAAGCAGAATAACTTAATTTCCGTGACAATTTGTGATTGGATGACCAATGGTGTGTCCATCAACTTCGCAATAAAATTACCACAGCAAAATTTGACACGTTGCTTGTTAAAAGCATTGTGTTTGCTCTAGTCCTAAGTTAGACCGAACCTCTTCATAGCGATTCTGATGTCTCTCGGGTTGTCCACCACCAACGAGTCCATCGTCAGCACCTTGGTTCCGTTCAATTGGATTAGCGTCCTGTCGGAAAGAAAATGAAACCACAAAACTGCAATACTATATCCAGGTAACACGGGCAAGCCCGTAATTACGTCTGGGAAAGACCATTCCTTTTATGTAATTATCTTTAACTCAATAAATCCCCTGATAGTATTGAATTCTGGATCAATTCCCTGTGGTTCAGAATTTACTAAATGGCACCACATAGAGATGGCTTTACTTTACTCCACATAAAGAAAAGTGTTCTGTGAGAAAAGGTTCTTTGAATGCGAAAATAGGGGAAGCAAGTGATAGCAGTGATTTTCTCAGGTGCATTTTATTGTTAAAGTGATAACATTGACACTAGCAAGGACGCATCACTTCACACAGCATTCTGCAAAAGTATAATATAAGTCTACCAGTCATATACACATCAAACACCCAGGAATATTTTGGACAAATATGCCTGTTCATGCACTCTGTTGGGTCACGGTGATGTTGATTCACATGACTAAAACCGGCGAATGATGAAGGGTAAGCTGCAAAATTATGTGAGTGCGCAATCCGTTTATGATAACCCATCATAAAGCACTTACATCTGGCCCCACTCTTGGGGTTCCTGTTGTAGAAAATATCACGAGCCCTGTATCAGAAGGAGGAAACCGCAGAGAGGAAACCTTACGTTTGTGCTAGGGGCAACGCTCCTGTGGAGAGTGATCTCAGGTCACTCTTCTGTTCCAGTGTCCAGCATTATCATCACTAGATATATAGGCTTACTGCAATTCTCTGAGGCACCACTGCAGCGAATTAATCAGCTCTCGAACACATTCAAAATGAAGGTTTTCCATGTAATTTGCAAATTAAGTGTGTCTCCAAATGTGTATTTTGTAATACTCCCTGGAAGCCCTCCCAAAGATGCTCGCCATTTTGTTCGCCACTTTTTTTTTCGCAACTTTCTTCACCTTCACAAACTACTTCTGACTGCAAATCATCATGACAAATGTACTTCTCTAAGTACATATCCATGTATATGGCAGCACTGAGCATGCCGCGACGTCTACTGAAGTACATGTACATTGTTTGTCATAAAGTCTGTGTGACGGTTCAACAAAAAGGACCGTGAATAACTCATGCCACGCCACATTGTTTCCCATTTCCGCTCCTTAATTAGGTTTCTTCCATCATAATGCACAAGAACTCGCTCATTTTTTCGCAGTATTCACAGGATTAAGCCCGGCATATACAGAAGAAAAACCTTCTGTGAAAACAAGGATGTCTAACAATAAATAATTATTTTGAAAGTAAGCATAGTGACTCAGATACCTGGAAACCATTTCAAGGAGAAGGAAGCAGCTGTTCTTTTTCGTCGGATGATCAGCCCCGCAACCACGACTGCAGCCAAGATCGCACACACGACTCCTGCTGCAATTTCTCCGGCTCCCTGAACGTTATTTCTTACTTCACCCTTTCCGCCAACAGTCCGAGGCCCGTCTGTGCTGAGCACACTGCCGTTGGTCGTGGTGATCATAATAGTGGTTGATACTACGCAAGTGGCAAAGAGATCACACAGACATACAATGTCATGAAACAAAACAATACAGCACAAACACCTAGCATTCTGCAATTGATCTTTAAGAAACATTTCTTAAGTCTCCTTTCTTCGCCCGTTTGAGGTGTGAGCCCTCCGGTGGCTTGGGCATGGAACAGTAGATGTATCAAGTATTTCGAGGAACCTTTGTGTACAATGTAATGTAACGTGTAGTGTCATTTCCGCGTAAGGTTCAACTCGCCTGTATGTTGTGTTCCTCCACCAATGAACGAGTACAATACTCAATAGCTCTTCGCACTATTTTCACCTTTAAAATCTTGAATATACCAATGTTCTATATAGAAAACGCGCACTTGCGCCATTTCTGCTGTTTATCATTCCTTTACACTGCATTATAATCAATCTCATCCTCTAGTGTTCAGCTCGAAGGAGCGAAACAGCTGTCTAGAGGCGAAACGTTTATCTATCAACAGATATGTCCTTGCTGTGCTGCTATGTTTATGCTTCGTGCATCGCCTCCATGTTGTGGTGAGTTTTCTCCCGTCACGACAACGTTGTAGGACCTGGATATGAGTCTTCATGATCCTTGTCAGTGGTGGTGTTCCGAAGGATCTTTTTTAGTGTGAGAGCTCCTTCTCTCCTTACCGCCCGCTTGCTCCATTTTTGCACATGAATAATTATATCAATTTATTTGTAACAAGATGCCTTGCTTTTGTACGTATTTCTTCATATCGGCTACCGAATTGACGAATTGAATTAGCCTCGCTAAAGTATGGCCTTGGGGTATCCCTGTAGGGAAGCAAATATATAAACACCTGACTAGACTGAGCACGTCAGAACAAGGCTTGTTTGTTTCAACACTGACTTTCACGCAATGTAATAATCAGGTAATTTAATTAAAGATGCAGCTAGCCACACCGGTGATTAAGGTGTTGATTTAGGGGTATAAGTTAGTAATGTGAAAATTGTGTGTATACACGTAGGGCTGTGTTAGTTTCAAGGCTAGTGGTGCTATGCTAACGCAAAGGTTGTAGGTGGTGTAGGCAGGAGGCTGTGCTCAACGTATGGTTTCGTTACAGGCAAGGAGCTCGACATGCGTGACGTCATCCTCAGTTGAATTGAACATGACTCATTATACATTCCTTCATCACACTGTGCTTATTTTGTCCGTAACGAGGCTTGTGTGTGAAAATGTGTACACAAAGAAGAGGCAGGAACAGTTGTGTTGATTTCAGGTCTAACAGTGTTACGCTAGCGCATACTAGTAGTGTGTGTCTGGTGTAACCAGTAGACTATAGAGGTAGACAGTTAGGTGACGCAATGTTTACTGAGGAGGTTTTGTCCGTTTCTACTAATTCTGGCGCTTGGACACTGTTTACGAGCACCGTTTGAGGCTACATTCTGATTTTACCGATATGTGTAAGTGTTACACCTACTTACAAAACCACGAGGCGATTCCTGGATACCAATATTGGCGTGGCCAGCACCGTTTTCCATGTTGCCTGATGATTGCATAATATGAAGCTCCGCTTTGCCAAAAACATTATGCTCTATTGTTCGTCAACTATCACATCAGAAACCTGTGCTCTCCAGGCACCCTCGACTTGTTGTCACAGCACACTATCAGCAAAGGGACACCTGCATAGGTACTTAGCTCCTTCATTATTTGCATTATTTTTTATAACTCGGGTATTTATGGTTGATAAATATGGTGGTAAAGAGTCTAAAGACACACCTGGCAATATGGCGGTAAACACACGCCTGCCCACACACGCTCTCTAGGCTGCAAACTCGGGTATTGAGCCAATAATAAATGTAGAAAGGAATAAAGGACATATGGAAACGATTTTTAATATTTGTAAATTCATAATAACTTGTATGAAGGGCCTGATTAACAGATCTACTTGGTTTGATTGAATAATCTTCTTCGAGGGATGTCGCCTAGCGGATGCAGTTGAAGTTACGGAATGTGAATAATTCGAACTGCTATCAAACTGTTTATTTTCTTTTATCAATAGATCCTTCGTTGGAGGAACACAAATCAGCACACGAAGCATAAAAGCCGTATAGTTTCGACTAGGAATTTCGTGCCATTACTTTTCAAGCCGAATACAATAGTGAATAACAAGGTTGCAAGCAAGTACTTGAAGTACTTACAACATGCACTTTGGCGGTCATTTAAAGTTTTCACCTTCCAAACCGGCAAATATTTAGATTTTTGATAAAAACGATTCAAAGCCTCTCAACTATTTTGTAATACTTCTAAATAAAAGAATAATAATAATATACTTTCACACAAAACAAGCTCGGTGCAGTGTTAATTACGGGTGGGGAACCCGACCCTCCACCATCGCCAACTCACGAAGCATGTGAACTGGACGGTGACGGGCCAACCGAGCACCCCAGACACACAATACAGCGGAACGTAGCAGCGCAAAAGACACCCGACAGCGATAATATCCCATCAACGACCAATAGCTACTAACCAAAGATTGAGACGGTCATTTAACCCTTAGTGTACCAGCCCCATCTCGAACCCTAACGTACGTTACGGTTCGACGCACCACACTGCGCCGCGCCGTTCGCCGGCGTCCTTGCTCCGATCGACACGCGTTTGTTGCGCTAAGCAGCTGAGATCCCACTGCAAATTTTGATGTATGATGTGGGTAGGTTGCCATTTGAAAGTATAGAGAACGATCGCGGCGAAAAGTGCGCTTTGCAATTTCAGCGCTCTGCGATATATTTTAGCAATTTCGATCGTGTTTTCGTTCGGTTACGCTGCTTGTATCTGGAATATAGCTTGCTCTAGCTGTTGTCGATGTCTACTAGTGATTGTGAACGCCAGGAGAGAGTTGTAGTTGCGATATAGTCTCAGGATCTGAATCGAAAATGAGAATTTCCATCGCTGAAGCCATTGCCGTATTCGCTCTCCAAGCAGCAGCGAGAGGGAGCTCAGGGATGGCCTGAAATAATCAAGGCAGGTGAATTTCCTCACCCTTCGACTATTCCTGGTCTTCTCAATCGCCAATACCCTCGCTGGACGCAAGTAGATAAGTGAAAAGTCCATATTCAACTCTGACACAATTTCAATAATTTGAAATTTTGATGCAATTGTTTGGCATCTGGTATTCACGCAATATGGCTCTTTTCCGTCCTTTCGCTATTGTTGAAGCATGCAACTGGCGGCTATACACTAGTGCAGTGGTCTCCTGTTGCTCTGTGTGAAGAGGGGCAATGTCAGCAAGTATATTCAAGATTCCGAGTACACGGATCTAAATTGTCAGGAATATGGACAATTGACTCAGAAATAGGTATTCCAGGTATGGCCTGTATCTGTAGTTGTGTGCTCGGCCAAAATATGTTCTTACCTGGACACATTGAAACCAACAGATTCAGAAAAACATAACTTGCACCTACAAAATGTGTATTAGTTTTATGCTATAGGTCCATCATTACCCATGAGTACCCCGCGCATACATTAGATGCCTGGTACACAAAGGGTTAAAGTGCTTTTTTGTCAATGCTCCAAACACCAAAGTTCCGGTTATAAGGACTTGCTTGCTACCTTCTTAACCACCATTGTATTCGACTTGAAAAGTAGTGTTACCAAAGGCCTAGTCGAAACTATAATATGACCTCTGTGCTTCGTGTAATGATTTTCTTTATCAATAAAATAATTCACCTCCCCTAATGGATATAATAGTATTACATTGTCTTCACCTTCTCCTTGTGTTTTCACGTGTGATTCCTTTGATGTTGGACTTGTTTGGTTGAAGGCCGTGATGACGTGAGCTTTAAAGACGTATTCTTTGCCAAGGGCAAGGTTGTGAAAGCATATTGAATTGTTGGCAGTGCATTGCACCATACTGCTGGCTGCTTGCGGCTTGGGTGGCAGGGATTTTTCCCGTAGCTTAAAGCAATAGCTGCTTATATTCAGTGTTTTGTACTGGGCTTCTGACGCTGTTGCACAGATAGACGTTGCGTTGAATAACTCGGTTGTTAAAGTAGGTTGGCGCGGATCTGATCACGCCCAAAAAGATTAAACATGAGTAGGATATGGTGAATGAGTAGAATACATAATGCAAAATAGCAAGAAATCAATGACTTCTTTATCTCTAGGCCTACCAACATTTCAACAACCCTATTCACGATTCCGAGTACACGGATCGAAATTGTCAGGAATATGGACAATTGACTCAGAAATAGGTATTCCAGGTATGGCCTGTATCTGTAGTTGTGTGCTCGGTCAAAATATGTTCTTACCTGGACACATTGATACCAACAGATTCAGAAAAACATAACTTGCACATACAAAATGTGTCTTAGTTTTATGCTATAGGTCCATCATTACCGATGAGTGCCCCGCGCATACATTAGATGCCTGGTACACAAAGGGTTAAAGTGCTTTTTTGTCAGTGCTCCAAACGCCAAAGTTCCGGTTATAAGGACTTGCTTGCTACCTTCTTAATCACCATTGTATTCGACTTGAAAAGTAGTGTTACCAAAGGCCTAGTCGAAACTATAATATGACCTCTGTGCTTCGTGTAATAATTTTCTTTATCAATAAAATAATTCACCTCCCCTAATGGATATAATAGTATTACATTGTCTTCACCTTCTCCCTGTGTTTTCACGTGTGATTCCTTTGATGTTGGACTGGTTTGGTTGAAGGCAGTGATGACGTGAGCTTTAAAGACGTATTCTTTGCCAAGGGCAAGGTTGTGAAAACATATTGAATTGTTGGCAGTGCATTGCACCATACTGCTGGCTGCTTGCGGCTTGGGTGGCAGGGATTTTTCCCGTAGCTTAAAGCAATAGCTGCTTATATTCAGTGTTTTGTACTGGGCTTCTGACGCTGTTGCACAGATAGACGTTGCGTTGAATAACTCGGTTGTTAAAGTAGGTTGGCGCGGATCTGAGCACGCCCAAAAAGATTAAACATGAGTAGGATATGGTGAATGAGTAGGATACCTACTGTAAAATAGCAAGAAATCAATGACTTCTTTATCTCTAGAACTACCAACATTTCAACTACCCTATTCACGATTCCGAGTACACGGATCGAAATTGTCAGGAATATGGACAATTGACTCAGAAATAGGTATTCCAGGTATGGCCTGTATCTGTAGTTGTGTGCTCGGTCAAAATATGTTCTTACCTGGACACATTGATACCAACAGATTCAGAAAAACATAACTTGCACATACAAAATGTGTCTTAGTTTTATGCTATAGGTCCATCATTGCCGATGAGTACCGCGCGCATACATTAGATGCCTGGTACACAAAGGGTTAAAGTGCTTTTTTGTCAATGCTCCAAACACCAAAGTTCCGGTTATAAGGACTTGCTTGCTACATTCTTAATCACCATTGTATTCGACTTGAAAAGTACGAGGTGAATAGCAATTTCTGGACATGAAAATAAAACAGAGGCCCACTGGCTGTGTGTTTTACATTTTTCATATCTTTTTGTATCTATTGTATGGCCTAATCCTTCATCTTTCCAAATATGTGACAATTGCTCATGCTGTGATCCCAGAGATTGTATAGCAGGATGTTTTCGACAGGCAAATTTTTTGGCCTAAAATTCAGTGTATGGAATTCTGGACATGAGAGTAAAATAGCGTCAATAGGCATCCTATACTGCACCATTTTTGTTATTTTTCTATTGGTGGACTGCAGTCGGCCTCTCCACACTTCCAGCCAGCAGAGCCAAGACTATACAGCGTCTGAAGTGGAGTGCACATGGGGAAGCCAACGATTCGTCCATTACTTCTTATTTTACTCAAAATTCAAAATTCTCTTGCGACATAGTACCACAAAACTCGTTGAAATGCCTCCCAAGAAAAGGCTATCAACAAGGCACCGACACGAGGAGAAACTACAACAGCCCAGCTGTCAACTACAACAAGAAAAAAGTTCATCAACCTTAATGACTTGACTCTACACGCGACGAAAAATTATTTTACTCGAAATGTCCAGAAATGTACAATGTCCAGAAATAGCAATTCACCTCGTAGTGTTACCAAAGGCCTAGTCGAAACTATAATATGACCTCTGTGCTTCGTGTAATAATTTTCTTTATCAATAAAATAATTCTACTCCCCTAATGGATATAATAGTATTACATTGCCTTCACCTTCTCCCTGTGTTTTCACGTGTGATTCCTTTGATGTTGGACTTGTTTGGTTGAAGGCAGTGATGACGTGAGCTTTAAAGACGTATTCTTTGCCAAAGGCAAGGTTGTGAAAGCATATTGAATTGTTGGCAGTGCATTGCACCATACTGCTGGCTGCTTGCGGCTTGGTAGGCAGGGATTTTTCCCGTAGCTTAAAGCAATAGCTGCTTATATTCAGTGTTTTGTACTGGGCTTCTGACGCTGTTGCACAGATAGACGTTGCGTTGAATAACTCGGTTGTTAAAGTAGGTTGGCGCGGATCTGAGCACGCCCAAAAAGATTAAACATGAGTAGGATATGGTGAATGAGTAGGATACATAATGTAAAATAGCAAGAAATCAATGACTTCTTTATCTCTAGAACTACCAACATTTCAACAACTCTATTCACGATTCCGAGTACACGGATCGAAATTGTCAGGAATATGGACAATTGACTCAGAAATAGGTATTCCAGGTATGGCCTGTATCTGTAGTTGTGTGCTCGGTCAAAATATGTTCTTACCTGGACACATTGATACCAACAGATTCAGAAAAACATAACTTGCACATACAAAATGTGTCTTAGTTTTATGCTATAGGTCCATCATTACCGATGAGTACCCCGCGCATACATTAGATGTCTGGTACACAAAGGGTTAACCCTTTCCATGCCATGGACGCGTATACGCGTTTTTTTAGTATGAGCCGATTGGCCGTGGACGCGTTTACGCGTTCTGCCTACACTGTACAATGTACACTGTACAGTTCATGTGTATCGCGCGCTATAGACGAGTGTACAAACTGTCGTAACTCTGTCAAAATATCTCGGACTGCTAGGGTTGAGACATCGCTGGAAAGGTCTTGAGCTCAGCTTTCCAGGGATATAAAGTTCTTCGCGATACGATAAGGGATGACCGAGCGGCGATAAATTGGACGGCCAGAATGCGCAAATTTCATTTTTTGGCGATCGATTCAAATTTTTGTGCGCGACATCGTGCGGGCTAGGGGATTTCCCCTAGACACAGCGCGTGCGCAGTCAGCTGCAACAAACGCGCTTGAATCTCAGCTTTCCAACGCAGTTTGAATCGTGAAAATCAGTTCACAATGAGCAAGAAGACGAAAGAAAACATGAGAGGCAGTCGTTTTTTTTGTTTTCAGGCATGGTAGGGGGACTTTGAGAGGCGATGGAAGTGGCCCTGGTATGCCTGTCGCGCTGTGAGTCCCTGAAATGGCTTCCTGTTGTCCAGATCTTTCCAACAAGCCATGGATCGTGAAAATCCATCAAGGTATAGTGAAATAGCAATATATTTTGTTCTGATGTGCGCGTGCAGCTTTGAACAGTTGAGCTCAGCGCCTGAACAATGCGTGGCCAACACAGGAAAACAGGCTGGCATGGAAAGGGTTAAAGTGCTTTTTTGTCGATGCTCCAAACACCAAAGTTCCGGTTATAAAGACTTGCTTGCTACATTCTTAATCACCATTGTATTCGACTTGAAAAGTAGTGTTACCAAAGGCCTAGTCGAAACTATAATATGACCTCTGTGCTTCGTGTAATAATTTTCTTTATCAATAAAATAATTCACCTCCCCTAATGGATATAATAGTATTACATTGTCTTCACCTTCTCCCTGTGTTTTCACGTGTGATTCCTTTGATGTTGGACTTGTTTGGTTGAAGGCAGTGATGACGTGAGCTTTAAAGACGTATTCTTTGCCACGGGCAAGGTTGTGAAAGCATATTGAATTGTTGGCAGTGCATTGCACCATACTGCTGGCCGCTTGCGGCTTGGGTGGCAGGGATTTTTCCCGTAGCTTAAAGCAATAGCTGCTTATATTCAGTGTTTTGTACTGGGCTTCGGACGCTGTTGCACAGATGGACGTTGCGTTGAATAACTCGGTTGTTAAAGTAGGTTGGCGCGGATCTGATCACGCCCAAAAAGATTAAACATGAGTAGGATATGGTGAATGAGTAGGATTCATAATGTAAAATAGCAAGAAATCAATGACTTCTTTATCTCTAGAACTACCAACATTTCAACAACCCTATTCACGATTCCGAGTACACGGATCTAAATTGTCAGGAATTTGGACAATTGACTCAGAAATAGGTATTCCAGGTATGGCCTGTACCTGTAGTTGTGTGCTCGGTCAAAATATGTTCTTACCTGGACACATTGATGCCAACAGATTCAGAAAAACATAACTTGCACATACAAAATGTGTCTTAGTTTTATGCTATAGGTCTATCATTACCGATGAGTACCGCGCGCATACATTAGATGCCTGGTACACAAAGGGTTAAAGTGCTTTTTTGTCAGTGCTCCAAACGCCAATGTTCCGGTGATAAGGACTTCCTTGCTACCTTCTTAATCACCATTGTATTCGACTTGAAAAGTAGTGTTACCAAAGGCCTAGTCGAAACTATAACATGACCTCTGTGCTTCGTGTAATGATTTTCTTTATCAATAAAATAATTCACCTCCCCTAATGGATATAATAGTATTACATTGTCTTCACCTTCTCCCTGTGTTTTCACGTGTGATTCCTTTGATGTTGGACTTGTTTGGTTGAAGGCAGTGATGACGTGAGCTTTAAAGACGTATTCTTTGCCAAGGGCAAGGTTGTGAAAGCATATTGAATTGTTGGCAGTGCATTGCACCATACTGCTGGCTGCTTGCGGCTTGGGTGGCAGGGATTTTTCCCATAGCTTAAAGCAATAGCTGCTTATATTCAGTGTTTTGTACTGGGCTTCTGACGCTGTTGCACAGATAGACGTTGCGTTGAATAACTCGGTTGTTAAAGTAGGTTGGCGCGGATCTGAGCACGCCCAAAAAGATTAAACATGAGTAGGATATGGTGAATGAGTAGAATACATAATGCAAAATAGCAAGAAATCAATGACTTCTTTATCTCTAGGCCTACCAACATTTCAACTACCCTAGAATTACCAGAGGCATCATATGACTCCACCGGACTTAAACATACCTGCTTGTTATTCTTATAGGCAATATGTGTAGAAACGAAAGTCCTTGGGTAAAGGGTACCTTTTAAGGAGGTTCGCGACGGTTAGCGCCATGTTGGATTTCCGAATTTTTTTCTGAAAAATAATGCCTTTCGGAGTGGAAAAATGGGACGCGATCATGCACAGAAAATAGTTTGACCATGACTTCGCAGCGCGTGCTCGAGTCGAGACAAATTATTTGAGGAAGAAGCTCAGCCACTAGTGGACTTGCGGATTTGTTTTGACATTGGCGGTTTTTGGATAGCTCGGTTCTCCTGCCGACGTGTCCTGGAGATGAAGACGCGGGAGAGTAATCCGTCACCCACGACGCGGCCTCTCATTCTGCGTACTGGACGATGCAAGAAGCCGAGGAGGGGGACGCTTCGCAAACTCAAGCGATCGATCGAGTTCCTGAAAAACGGAAAGGGCGATCTCCATCACTAACGCCACTGGATTCGACTCCCGTGAAGAGGTCGTTCAGTGCCCCTCTTCACGGTCGACGAATCGTTCATCTCAGGTATCTGGCTGTGGGATTGTCTGCGTGCCAGAATCCTGGATGTGGCAAACCTCTGGCGCTCATTGATTGCGTTGAAGAGAAGAGGTACGACCTGGGCAGCGTACTTGTCATTCCGTGTCAGCAGTGTTGGATGGAGAATTTTATAGATACAGATAGCCCTGTAACTGCTCAACACCCTGGCCCCCGTGCTTCAACAAGCAACACCAAAGCTGCTTTGGGTAAGTGCGTTTTTCAATCTCATAAGATTTATTTATGATATTTGCGAGTCATTGCCACCCTATGGCTATGGAAATGTATGAGCACACTGTATGCGCGGCGGCCGCGAGTGTCTGTGTGTTTGCATAGACCTGCATGTTTGTGCATGTGTGCACCATACGCATGTATGAACATGCACATGCATATGCGCTCATGTGGACGTGCCCTCGCACACATACTATACACACGTGCATGACCGCTCCCAGGGCATGTTGGTGTGACATGTGTATGCAGGCATCTCCACTCATGCACATGAGTGTGCACATGCATGTGGGTGGGTACGCACACATGCGTGAATGTATGTGTGTGTACGCGCGCGTGTGTTCTATTGCGTGTGAGAGCATGCATGTGTGTGTGTGTGTGTGTGTGTGTGTGTGTGTGTGTGTGTGTGTGTGTGTGTGTGTATGTGTGCACGGATGTGTGTGTCGATGGTGTGCATTTTTGTGATTGGTGAACACTCTGATCCGTAAACCGCGATACCGGAGCTCCCAAGCTACAGCCTCAGATTGATTTATAGTTCATCGTTGGGAATGAGTTCGCTGCTCATGATGCTGTTGCGGATGTTGCGGCCCTAGCTGAAATTGTCGAAGCTCGCCCTGATGCCAGTATCCTGTAGCACTCTGTCACTTTTGCATCAGCATGTTCGGCGATGGAGTTTGCAGAACATCAGCAAAAGCGGGTGGCCACCCTTCAACCGTTGGTCCAAGCAACGTGCTTCTCTAAGTCAGTTTCAGTGCGGGCAGCTGCAAGTGGGTTGGTGATGAAGCACTTTGTCTTGTCCTACAAACGAAGTGGTGAGCCAGCCATTTCCAGACTGATGAAGGAGCAAGTCGGAGGTAAGAAGCGGGTGACAATCTCAAGGAAGATTATATTAGCGGTGGCTGAACACCTAGCGAAGAACCAGCAGCAACCCAACTGTAAGGAACGCCCTGTGACACAGTGCTTCACTTGTTTGTGCGCAACGTAAAATACCATCATTTTTGCCAGCGTGGGGACACATTTTAGCTCGCATAGTTGAAGAACAAGAGGACTCAATGTTGTCTGATTCGTTCCAACATGTCAGCTTTCATTGTAGTTTGATATGGGGCAGTGCTAAGCGCTATCATAGCTGCATGTGTAGTATCCCTGCCTGGCTGATACGGAAGTAATACGGAAGTAATACGGAAGCAATACGGAAGCAATACGGAGCAATCTTATGTATAGTAATTTTAGTGTATCTTCGCATATAAGCATACGGCGTTTGCTGCATAAAAGCAGCTGCGTTTTTTTCTGTTTTAATAAGATTAGATTAGATTGGATAGCAATGAAAGCTAACTCGAAGAATAAGGATTCAGCCTCTAGGTGAGCACATGTATCACAACCAAGTGCCAACAGGAGAGTAATCATGGAGAAAAGTACCTATCGATAATGCGTGCACTGGCCCAGGATTTTCCGGCAAATTTACTAGTTCAGCTATTCCATCCTTGTATTGTTCTGAACGCCGAGGGCTCTAGTGAGTTTATGCAACACCTAACAGCCAAAAATCCAATAAGTTATGACCAAAGCAGCAGCAGAGAAGTACAAGCAATATAGAGACGTGAATTTACCAATTTTAGGCAAATTTTGACAGTTTTTTGGATTTTTCTCCAGAATATGCACGGTGACCCCTATTTTCGCCACGGTAAACCTGTTCCGACCCACTTATAGAACGTGTTTGAAGTATCCACATATGGGGCAAACTCAAAAATAAGCTGCAAAAAATATTCAAAGTTTCATTTTTTGCGTCTTTTTGTTCTTCTCCAGGAAATGACGACCTGGATCCCATCGTCAACCAAAGTGTACATTTTTCGGTGTTGATATCATCTTAGTCAATACCTCGAACAGTCTGTAAAATTTTATGTCATATTTTCTGTCCTAACTGATGTTATGGACGATTTCTCATCAATTTTGGGATTTTGTGTTATTTTGTGTCATCAAGGAAAATTGTGTTTTTGGCAAGACCTATTCTGGCAATTGAAAAACTGATGTTACTAAGCGAAAATATAAGGCTGTACCTATTCAAACCTGATGTCAGATTGGGCTGATGTTGAAATTAAATTTTTGGGCCTAACTGTCCCGAACCCCCTTAAAAGGAAGAAACAATGACAGGTGCACTACCGTGGAGACCAGCAAATAGCAGTGCGCGCTGCGAAAGGGCGACCTCTCGTCAGTTTACGGAAAAATAAAAGAGCATTTGCTTGCCATGCTCATCCTGCAAACTCTACATTTCAGTCCATTACCCCAGAAATGGCTGCTGCTGAGCCAACGTTCTGGATTGTTCTCAGCCAGGTTGGTTATTCTTTAACCGCTGTGATAAATACATTTACGAACGAAAGGAGAACGTGGTGTCGCGACTCATAGCAAACGAATAATTTCCGTTCAACGTCGTGTCCGGAGACCATCTTCGTGATCAAACCTCAAGTAGCAGAGTAGTTCCTGGAAACTATTTTTAGGGATTTTACTTACTTATATGGCGTCCATTCCTATCCAGCCCATGGGCCGTCGGCAGATGATTGCGCGTACAGAGGACACCTCTTGCAGAAATTTGCGAAACCAATGCCATGATATTGCCTTCACTCAAAGTAGAGTCTTCTCAAATTTTCTGTTTACCTCCTACTTTGTGCACTTGATCATGACATGGATCATATTCTGGTCAATAAATGCAAACAATGCATCTGCCCATCTTCAAAATTGTGAATATCTCGGAAAAGCCCGCAAACTTCGGAAGCAACAACCGGTTGCGCTCTTTCGCGCTTGCTGGGTGCAACACATTTCCCACTATCTATCAACTTTGCCAGAGAATCCAGCTTCATGAAGGAAATCCTGCCCGAGCTTTGGAGAGTAATGTTCTGGTATGTGTATGGCTCCATTGCTTTATCACTACCATTATCCGCTTGCTCCCTCGACTTCGGTCCCGTATCAGACTGATCGAGAAACCGGAGCAATTAGTATTCACTCATCTTCATCTGGAGCATATAACTATGTGGCTCTGTGTTCGTTCACTTCTAATTGCTCACGCACAATGCTCCAGGCACTCTACTAGCATTCATCCTCAAACTCCCGCCCAAAAATTTTCAAAATCAAATGAAACGCTTTATCGGCAGCGACACTTCCTCTGGGTGTATGGCGTCTGGTGAATGGTGGTGAACCATCAAGAAGGCCTCTGGCCACGGAAACAGCCCATCCATACCTACTCTCCGCAGCACCGATGGTACGGAGCACGACACCAACCGCAGCAAAGCAGAGTGCATGGCCGAACACTTCGCCAACAAATGCAGTCTAGGGGCAGACGACCTATCCGCTCCATTTCCTTACGTCCGACCACGTACTGACCGCAACCTCTGCACCGTCCGGTTTCGCGAGACCACAGTCGAGCGAACTCTCCGCCAGCTCAACCCCACCAAGGCCACTGGTCCAGATGGGATACCTGCCCGCGTCTTGAAAGCTTGCTCTGCAGAATTGGCACGGTCGCTTTCAAAACTATTTACATGCTGTCTTTGCTCCGGCATCCAGCCACAACAGTGGAAGGTTGCAAACGTAGTTCCAGTCCACAAGCGCAAGTCTAAATCGTCGCCATCAAACTATCGACTAGTGTCGTTACTGAGCATCCTCTCCAAGGTCATGGAGACCATAGTCAACAGGGCAATGAGCAACTTCATGGAGACGAATCACGTCCTGTCAGAACGGCAATTTGGCTTCCGTCGCGGCCACAGTGCAGCAGACCTGCTGACTGCTCTCCACCACCAGTGGGTGCACACCGCCGGAGATAAAGGAGCTTCTCGAGTGCTGGCCATCGACATTGCTGGAGCATTTGACCGGGTGTCTCACACTGGTGTGTTGCACAAGGCTAGAGTTTATGGCATCTCGGGAGACCTGCATCGGTGGCTCCAAGACTACCTCTGCAACCGCACACTTCAAGTCCTCATCTCCGGCCAGACATCAGCCAGACGCCCAGTTAAGGCTGGGGTGCCACAGGGCAGTATCCTGGGCCCCACCTTATTCTTGGTCTACGTCAACGACCTTGAAGACCACCTCCCAATCGGCTCCAACCTTGCCTCATTCGCCGATGACACAACCCTATACGCCGAAATTGCAACGCTCGCTGCTGTTCCTGACAACGCTAGAGTACTCCAGGCTGCTGTCGACCTTGTATCCATTTGGGGCTCGGATTGGAAAGTGCAGTTCCAGCCAGCCAAATCTCAGGCCCTTACAATATCCCACCATCGTCGGGACTGGCCAATACCCCCCATTGTCTTCAATGGAACTCCTGTCGAGGAGCAGCCCTCCATCAGAGTACTCGGTGTCACGTTTGACCATCAGCTAAAATTCAGCCAGCATATCCGAACTGTTGTAGTCCGAGCAACGCAGAGACTTGGAGCCTTGCGCAAGGCATTTCACTTGCTGACTATTCCTGCCCGGCTTCGAGCCTACAAAGCCTTTGTCCGGCCGGTTATGGAGTACTGCCCAATCGTCTGGATGGGGGCAGCTCCTTCCCACTTGAATTGGCTGGACTGGGTGCAGGAGCGAGCCATCAAGGCAATACATCCGCAATGCTGGCTTCCTAGCCTCATAATTCGCCGCGCCATCGCTGCCCTCTGCCTCCTGTATAAAGCCTTTTGCGATAATTCTCCCGCTCTTCTCTCGAGAATGGCTCCACCGACACACCAACCCAGGACCACACGCCTCACCCGCCAGGCTGTACGACTTTCCACCGCGCATCCCCATCAGTTACAGAATGTTCTTCCTGCCAATTCCCGGAACAATGTGAGCCGAGCCATTCCCCACTCCGTCATCCCAATTTGGAACCAGCTGCCTACCTCTATCATTCCCCACCCATTTCACCCAAAGAACATCCAAAGGTTCAAGACAGCAGCTTATCACCATCTCCTCAGAACGAACTGGCACTGGGCCACTCATAGCATACGCGAGTAAGAGGGTACAGTGTCCTACCCTGCTTGGACATACATGTAATCTCTCCTCACGGATAGTCTCCTCTTGAATTTAAAAGTCTAACAGCGTTCACATCAATACTCAACTTATTCTTTTGCTAACTGAGCAATACAATCTTTCCATTTTCTTTCTTCTGTTTTCTTTTTCAATTTAACTTAATCCTCCCTACCCAAATATCCCTTTGGTACGTCCATGGAGCTATGAAGCCGAGACCTCTGGTCGGCGGAGCATAATGGGCGTCACCACCACACTCCATCATTCACCCCAGTGTCTGGAGATATGTGGATTTTGTAGAAAGAAAAAAAAAGAAAAAAGAAAAAAAACTTCGCCTACTGAACATGGCTTCCGCCAGACCAAAGTAAACTCAAAGGACGTTCCTAGAATGTTATAACTGCCCTGGCACTTCTTATCGTTCTATGCTGCAGATGACATAGTGAATCACTTTCGAAACTTAGGACAAACAAATTTGTCTGTTTCGGCAGGATTCAGGATTACGATATTGACCATAACGACACATGAAATGTGCATATGAGCATGTCCATATTTATATATCACCACCTTCATGGTCATTAATCTCCTTGCTCCCAAATGTATTCCTCTTCACTTTATTCACGTGTGGTTCTAAGCCGAATTCGCCCTTTATTGATGCCTATGGTATGTGGAGTCATATGATGCCGCACGGTTGTTCTAGGTAGCACCCCTTGGCATTTCGGAACTGTATTAAATGCTTGAAAACACAACTCACTGCCATTAACCAAATACAAAATAAATAAAAGTCACAAAATTTGGGGAGATTCTAAGTCCCATATAACAGCAATTCCATTTTGAAAGTCGCAAATGCATCATATGATGCCTCCGGTAGTTCTAGGGATAAGAGAGCAAATCTGAAAATACCAAAGTTTGTGTGCAAGTCGATCTCCCTATTTCATTTTAAGATTTGCATGTCGGTTGCCTTCGGGGGTAGATCGATTGTGTAAGGCCCTAAAAATGTTTCTGATGGGAACATTGAAACTTGCATACCCCTCAAAAATGGCCGAGATATCACATTGTGTATATTTTCTACAATCGAGTCACGCCACAGCGTATAGAAACGAGCTAAGAACAAATCTCCATCAAGTCAACATTGCCTCATATTAGAAGATGTCCTGGAGCAGTACCGCTTAGCCACGCCAGGATCCTAGAATACGAGGGCAATCACCACCTGACTCCACAAATGATCATCTTGAAAAAAGCCAATTTACAAGCGCTGGTGAAACAGCGGGCTAAGTCCTCAATTAACAAGAACTTTACACCGGCAGATAGTAGAACACATCCTCTAGCACTGAGGGCATGTCTCCATGTTCCTTTTAGGGGTTTTCTTAAAATAAACCTTTTTGGAATTTTCCACTCCACCATGCTGAAATACAGCCAAAGTCAGACCTGCGCAGGAAGGCTAGCCCCCCCCCCCCCCCCCCCCCGCGACATCATCTCAGCAACATGTACTCCAACACTACTCCCTACGCTAAAGAACAAAGGGTATTGTTGACTCTGGCAAGGAGAATCAGTGGTGATCACTTGTCACTCCAAACAACACGCTTCTCCTTGCGCCACCAACATTTGTGGTGTGGTCGTTGATGCAAAAGTGAATCAAGTCCTGCTGAGCGCGGCTTTTTGAATTTTATTGCATGATGCACGGTGAGATCGCGTGCTTCCTGGCGTAGGATGACGCGCTTCCTAGATCTCGACATGCGGCCATCGATCGTTATTGTGCCTGGTACGCTACTCGGAACAGACCGTGATTGCGGAGGTAAGATGTGCTGCATGTCCTGCTTGATCTGCTGAGAACCCCACAAACTGTCATAGGGGTTTTGGCAATGCCAGTAAGGAGTGTAATGATAATCTGAAATGAAAACAGTCATACATTTAGCGGGTTCTATTCATAAATCATGCAAATTCTCTCTCTCACTCTCCCTCTTGCTGTTGCGGCAGTCAGTTTCTTGTTCTTTATTGCTGCTGCTTTATAACGCATTTAGCGC